GATTTCATCATTTAATTTCGGGTTTGGGTTGCAATTTTGGGGAAAATGGGAAGAAGTTCTTCAACTAAGATTTTGGGTTTTGATTGAGATTTTGACATCGGATTTGGATAATATTGGTGCGAGTGAACTCATGAGGGAATGAGTGTTCATATTTTGTGACTTTTACCCGATTCCGAGACGTGGGCTCGGGGAGACTTTTTTAGGCGATTTTCTAATTTCTTGCTTTAGCTTTGATTTCATTAATTAGATTAATTTTTTATAATTGTATTTATGGTATGTAATTAATTTTTGTCTAGATTTGGGCCATTCGGAGTCGGATATTCATGGAAAATGTATTGTTACCGATTGATTGAGCTTGGTTCGAGGTAAGTGGCTTGCCTAACCTTATGTGGGGAAAATTCCCTTAGTATTTGGTACTGTTGTGATATGTGAGCGCCGTGTACGTGAGGTGACGAGTACGTACACGAGCTATTTGTTGTAAAACCCGATTTATTTTACTGAGTAACAACTTGTTTTTCCTTAAATTTGAGTTATATCGTTTAAATGAGTATTAGTATGTTTTCATTCTTAATTGAGCTATACCAATATGGGTAGTTATCCTGTTTAGTCTAATATCGCATGTCTACGTGCTTTAACTGCTCGTTTGAACTATGTGAAGCATGCTTAGTTGATTTCCTGCTTTTTCTTATTCTTCATCAGTATAACTATAGAAATCTTGCTATCAATTGTTGTATTTATCGGTTTGAGCTGTGTGTTTACTTTTGAGACTGCGAAGCGGTTCCTCGGGAGTTCTCCCTGCTCATTTACTTTTGAGACTACGAGGCGGTTCCTCGGGAGTTCTCCCTGCACATTTACTTTTGAGACTACGAGGCGGTACCTCGGGAGTTCTCCCTGTATATTTACTTTTTGGACTACGAGACAGTATCTCGGGAGCGCCCCCTGTTGTTATATCATTGTGTGGTGTTGTTATTGCTTTGTGAATACTTGATGTTATCTTCTCCGTTTTACTTCATTTTTATTATAGCATTTATCTTATTATTATATCCCAGTAGGGGCCGGACCTGACCTCGGCATTACTCTACCGAGGTTAGGCTTGGCACTTACTGGGTACCGTTGTGGTGTACTCATGCTTCTCTTCTGCACATGTTTTGTGTGCAGATCCTGGTACTTCTTATCAGCCCCGCTACTAGCTGAGAGTGTTTGTTGCTATACGGAGACTTCACGGTATATTTGTCGCGTTCGCAGACCTCGGAGTCCCCCTCTATTCCCTCCTATGTCATTTACCTTCCTTACTTCTTTTATTAGACTCTGGCGTATAGAGATGCTAGTTTCCTTCTGTAGCTTGTGACTTACGATGTTTCGGGTTTTGGGAAGTCTGTGCATTTATAGAGTATTGGTTATTGTATATGCTGAGCGGCATTGTTACTAGTTACTCAGTTATCCACTGCTGTTAGTTGCCAAGTTTTACTTTTATTTTTATTTTTTGCTATTTTCCAAAATTTGTTAGGCTTACCTAGTCGTAGAGACTAGGTGCCGTCACGACGTTATACGGAGGAAGTTTGAGTCGTGACAGATTCTTGCTAAGAGGACTAATTAAAGCCAGTACTAAAGCATATCCTATTTTTAAAAAATCATTTTCAAAACTCGAACCAAAAACCTATAGTTAAAGATCGAGAAATTTCAGCTATCTCATCAAGTTCCTTAATGATATAATAAAAGATAATGGGTATATATACTACATGCAAGTATTTTATTTATGAATCATGTGTAAGCCTTAAAACAGACAAAAAGATTAATATGCATTAGGTTCACATGGGTAAATAAAGGGAAAAAATAGTAATCGTAGCGGTACTAGTAATAGCAGCAAGTCAGCAACAACATTATCGATAGGGGAGTAGTATTCGCAAAGCCATGCCGTCACCTTGCCTACTCCAAGAAGGCTCACCAAATTCACAACTTCAATTGGCCAAAACACACCACTCATCAAATTAAAGTAGCAAATTTATATCTTTTTACACCTACTACCAGCTATATCATCTTTACAGTAGTACTCCCTTCGGTCCACAATAAATTACTATTTTATATTTGGCATACTTATTAAAAAAATATGAATTCCTAGAATTAAAAAAGATGTATTCACTAAATTAACCTTAATTAATTGTTAACTTAATACATACGAATATATAAATAAGGGTAAATTTTGAAAAAATAAAATAATTCTATCTTGATTATGTAAATGGACACTTATTTTGAACCAAAATAAAAGGGTAAAATTGTCACTTATTATGGACCGGGGGAGTACCATAAAACCATTAAAAAGTCTCTTTTTTCAATATTATTTATGAGGACAAAACAAGAAAATAGAATTAAAAAAACATAAAAAGAATAATTAAAATAAAAAACAAAAACAATATTGACAACACTAGCTCACTTGGTGAGCTCCCGTCTTTCATTGTTGATGTGAAGGATTCAAACTCTATCGGTAGCGTAGATTCCTTTCTATCCTTGATTTAATAATTAAAAAAAAAAAAAAAAAATGGCTAAACGTTACTGTATTGCAAATAAAATTTGGCCATTTATGTGTATAAACTAATTAATCCAAACAAAATATATCTTACTTATCTATCCCACAAGAAATTAAATGTGCCCAATTATTTCGTCATGACAAAAGGTCAACCAAGCTCATAGTCAAACCACCAGACTAATAACCCTTATAAATCCCACATGGCCATGAATTCCTCAATTCCATTCTTTCTTTCCGACCAAAACCAGTTAAACCAACTTCCCTTTTCCACAATAAAATTCAAGAAGAATTAAAAATCCCACAAAAACTTATCATTTTCTCAACCTCGCATTAAACTATGGTGGTTTAACCAAAAAAAAGAGAGAGAGAAAGTGAGTTTGATAGCATAACAACCATGGCTAATTACTTGATGCTTTTTTCAAGCCAAGAAAATCATTTGGACACGATCAAAAATTCTCCTAGTCGAGTTTTCGAATGCAAAACTTGAAATAGACAATTTTCTTCATTCCAAGCTCTTGGAGGTCATAGAGCAAGTCATAAGAAGCCAAGATTAATGGGAGAATTGAACTTTCATCAGTTGCTAACTTCTCCTCCTAAACCAAAAACACATGAGTGTTCAATTTGTGGGCTTGAGTTTCCAATAGGCCAAGCATTAGTTGGCCATATGAGAAGGCATAGAGGTATGACGAATGAAAATAATATTCATCTTGTAAGGAAATCAAAGAGTCCAAGAGTTTTGTGTTTGGATTTGAACTTGACCCCTTTGGAGAATGATTTAGAGTTTAAGTGGAAGAAGATTGCCCCTGTAGTTGATTGTTTTTTGTAATTAAATACGGGACGAGATGAGATACGAATTTATTTTAAGGATTCTACAAGTTCACTTGAACTCGTTATTTTTCACTTGTACTATGTAAATATATAAACTTGAAATGTGTTATGTGTACATGAAATAAGATTGCATTCATTCTAAACCCACATACTTTATATTTTGGATTCACTTATGTACAAATTAATCTTATCAAGACATCTAGATGCTAAATTTTTTTCTTTTCTTTTTTCTCCTTATTATTATGGATCTATTACGAATAGAGATTTATATATTCGTGGGATAGGAGCCTCACCTTGTAGATACTTTACTCATAGATTACATGAGAAAGATTAGTATACCAGACACGAACTTGAATTCAATATGTCTGTAACATACAATTGATGATCGTTTTCACTGTATTTTTGTATCAGTATATTTTAGTCGTCCAATTTTCAGATCATACTTCCATAAGAGATAGTAATTAACTCTGTAGCAAAGAGATTTCATTTACTAAATGAGAATGGTAGCTGGCTGAAGGATAGGACTAACGTCCATCCTCAGAATTTGTTATGACTGTAAATATTTCCTTGTTACATAAAATTCTTTAACTACCACAACAGAAAAAGAGATTCGTTTAGTTTATATATCATGCATGAATATCAAAGTCTGCTGCTATCATATATATCTAATTCAAGAGATACCTAAAACATGGATAGATGGACTAATGCTTGGAAATGGGAAGAATTTGGCAAAATGATTATTTGTTTATATTTCATTAATTTGTGATTATTGACACATTACTATTGGATTGGTAAAGTAAAGTTGTATATTTACATATATGTTGTATGTTCCAATCCCAATCCAACAGTTTAGTATGTGGCTCCACCCCATCTGAGTTATGATCTACATATATGTTGTTTGGACTCTTGTTTGGACTCTTCAAAATTGTCACCGAGTCAGATTCTTCAATACTAATGTATCTTTTGAGGATTCGAAATGAATGCGATAACATTTTTAGAGAGTTCAAGCAACATAAGTTCTGACAATTCGGTTGAAATGAAGGGTATCTCACCAACTGATCAGTGCCAATTTCTGTTACATTTTGCCCTATTTAATCCATGTAAGCAGCCTCAGATATGTCTCTTCCCTTATTTGTTATGTTAGTTTTATTACACGACAGAAATGACATTGCTTGAATAGTATACATATGGCTACACCCTTTATGAAAATAATCTCAAAACTGCTTTCTCTAGAGGGGTTGTGGAAAAATTTCTATCATCCCGTGTTGAGTCCTGAATCGGTGGGATATATATGTGGACTTGGTATTTTTTTTATATGATCTCGGAAAAAATCTTCGCCTCAAAAGCTAGTTTTTCAAGTTGACTTAGGCTTGAACCTCATTTTTTATCATCCCTATTCTCACCCTCCTCATCATATGAATGTGAACTGGATTTTCCAAGCATTAAGCTTCAATCACGGGTCAAAGATGCAAAACCATCACAAGAGTTGTGAATAACATGACCAATATACTTGTTTTTATGTTCACTCGTGATCTAAACTAAAGCAAATGTAATAGTCAATATTTATGAAAGAAATATTATAGTATATCTGAAATTTTCCACAACTAACAAATAATACCAAACGCAGTGTAAACACAATCATCAAGTATATAAAACACTATATAAATCACATATATATTACATCCAGGCTTATGTATGAATAATCACATACAGTTAACCTTTAATTTTGACATTCTTAAATAATCCATCTATAAAACGAAATCCACAAGATTAGAGACTCCTAAATCCCTCATATAAACGAATAAATAAATCCTTATCTAGAGCAAGATCTATAACAAGAAAAAAGAAAGAAAAAAAAGAAGGCAGCCCGGTAAATAAGGCATCTCGCATTCACGCAAGGCCCGAGGAAGGGTTGCACCCTAAGAGGTGTGATGTAGACAGTCTAACCTAATGCAAGCATTAGTAGCTGATTCCATGGCTCGAACACGTGACCTATAGGTCATTCTGAGACAACTTTACCGTTTCTCCACTGACTCCCCTATATAACATGTAAACTCCAGAAATTATACTTTCTAGTGATTACAATCACAAGAAGCAATCAACTACAGGAGATGACTTCCCCAACTTGAACTCTAAATCATTCTCCAAAGGGGTCAAGTTCAAATCCAAACATAAAACTCTCCGACTATTTGATTTCTTTACAACATGAGGAACTTGAATATTATTATTTTCATTCAATATAGCTCTATGCCTTCTCATATGCCCACCTAAAGCTTGACCTATAGGAAACTCAAGCCCACAAATTGAACACTCATGTGTTTTTGGTTTAGGAGGAGAAGTTGACAACTGATGAAAATTCAATTCTCCCATTAATCTTGGCTTCTTATGACTTGCCCTGTGACCGCCGAGAGCTTGAAATGAAGAAAATTGTCTATTGCAAGTTTTACACTCGAAAACTCGATTAGGAGAGTTGTTGATATTGTCAAAATTATTTGCTTGGCGAGAGAGAAGCATCAAGTAATTGGCCATGGTTGTAATGGTATCAAACTCACCTTCTCTTTCTCTCTTTATTGGTAGAACCACCATTTTCATGCAAATGTTTGAGAAATGGTACGTACTTTTGTTTCTTTTGTGGGGTTTTTTGGTTGAATATTGGGTGTGGACGAGGGGTTTTTGGTTAACTTTTGTAGGAAGATGAAAGAATGAAATATTGTTTAGGTTCTTGTGGGGGAATTAGGTTATTTATTTATAAGGGTTTTTAGTTTGATTAGTTTGACTAGGATTAGTTGAATTTTTTGTCATGACGAGATCGGGCGTGTACTTTCTTGTGGGATAAGTTATATACACTTCTTTATCTGTTTAGGAAATGACAGTGGGGATTTTAATCTAAAATGAGTATGTAGAAGTTTTGATAACATGAATTAGTGGTCTGTTTAGTGGCCGAGGTAGGAATTTTACCGAGAGATTCGAGAAATTGAAAAAATAAATATACGAAGTAGGCAAGGAGATTTCAACATATTATACAGATAAAAAAAAGGTTTAACCTTATATACGTAATGTAATTTTCGAATGAATTGAAAAGGGTTCGGATGAATCCCTTTTGCCTCTAGCTCCGCCTCTAGTCTTGTTGGGGTACACTAGTGGTAGCAAAATAGATTAAAAAAATAGTTATCGAGCCATATTATCTACTAAAAAATAAGTTGGATAATGAACGTTTTAAAAATAGATCAAATATGGATAAGATCCATATTATCCACTTAAAAATGGATAACCAATGGGTTTAACTTTTATATTTGCGAAGAGTCAAATTAGAGGTTCCTCAAGTTTGAGAAACTGAAAATTTTTCCAAAAGTGTTCATATTCAGAAAGTCATAGATAAGATATCCATATTATTCGACGGGTAACTCATATTTTATTCATATTAAATATAGGTTGGGTCGAATATTTTATTCATTTTTGCATTAACTATTTTGGACCCATTCATATCCTATCTGACCCGTCTGTTTGCCGCTCCTAGGGTAGACATCATGGATTACGCAAGCGTGACAATGTGGCTTAGCGAATACTACTAATCTCTTTGCCGAAAGATAAAAAACTATAACAATAAACTACTAGTCTCCTACTTGTACTAGCAATTTGAATAAACAAAGTCGTGAGTTGACTAGCGAACCAACATGTTACATGACGATATATATTTACGTAAATTCGTGGCACCTTCATTTTTCTAGAAATTCTATTAATTAGTTCCTCCCACTTTGGTTTATTTTTTACTTTGAAAGAACTAAAATGATAAGTCAGCAACTACTATTATCATGAAGTCGTCTGTTGGGGGTCGGAAAGGGGAGTTTTGTTCATATGCTAATTAAGCAAAGGAATATAATGTTAATGTGGTGAATAATGATAAAAGGATTGTCATATGGTGAGCAATAATGTAGGAATTATTAAGGAAGAAATAATAATACATGGAATATTATGTAGAGATTATATATATTTTAAGGATATTTTTATCTTTAAACCTCCTATTACACATTTTATCCCACATAAAACCTAATGCGGACATAAACTAAACACCACATTAGTATACGGGAATTATTTTTTTTGAGACAGCTAACAAACATTAATAATCATGCATTATCTTTTTTAATTCCTCTAACCAAACATAAATAACCATGGCTTGTATTATTTACGGGAATTATCCCATCTAAATGCTACACAGATATTTTGATGCATCGATCGAAATTTATGTGAGAACAAGGAATTAAACATATTATTTGTGTACGGTAAAAATCGATTCCCAGTCATAAAGACCGGTCGAGACAATGACGTTTCAATCGAAGGGTATCCACATGGCAAGCTCGAACGAATTCCGAAGTAGAGACATCGAGCTTCGAGCTATAAGACCAATCAACAGCAAAACTCGATATCATTATCGAGCTCGTGTCTGAATCGGACTACGGGGCACGCCGATCAACACAGGCCTCGAATATCGATGCTCCAAGGCAGAACCGAGCTCGAACTAAGACTGGGGATTCGATCTAGCACCGAGCTCGAGTCAGTGCCAAGCTCGCAGACAAGAGCCGTTACAACCGCACCAAGAGAGAGAATCTTGGCGAGAATCAAGGGAAAGACAAACCATCGTGGGTTCTCCACTATATGTATTATTTTATTATGTTGTTATAGATAAAGTAGTGACCCTCTACTATAAAAAGGGAGATAGACTACAATAGAGAGGGATCCTCCAAGATACATTAAGATTTTATTGTGCTTGTTCTTTTTATATTTTTCAGTCTTCCCGTCCATCATTCCCATTTCATAGCAAAAAATACCTGTATTATCATTTTGTATCAAAAAAATTTGCATACCCTTAGAACCATATCTAAATTTAACGTTATCCGATTTTTCGGGTAAACAGTTTGGCGCCCATCGTGGGGCTAAGGGTAACAGTGATTGTTTGATATAAATCTACAGTACACTCCAGCTTACAACTTGGAATCAGCAATGGCTCTACCTATCGACCTTGAAGCCGACCTTCAAGATAAAACCAACAACTTGGTGCCCGGGGACGGAAGGCTACCTGACAACGGCAACGAGGCTCGAATCGAAGAATCCGAAATTCGAACCGAAGTACCACTGGATATCAATTCGCAAATAGCTCTAGAAGCGAATCAGCGTTCTGAACCGGAAA